AACTAAAGTGTAGACATTTTATGCGAAGATATACCACAAATAGCACTAAGCAAATTATTAATATCAACTCCCAACGGAGGAAAGCAACGCGATGTGAACTCCACACTAATACAATTTCCAATCGTAACATGAGCAACGTAAGTGATTGAATATGAGTTGTATGGGTTATATCATATGTAACCATGTAACTAACTCATTCAACTCTTCTATTGTTATAAATATAATTAAATAATATTAAATCATTCTCACATATCACATCAATTTTAATTTACTATTTATCTGTTCACATAAGTTTATCTCTCTATCACTTCCGATAATCACTCTCATACTTTTATATCACTTTAACTTTATTCATTATATTTTGAATGCCTAATATAACTATATTGATTTGATATTCCAAATTTATTTATGCATATGTTGTTTAATGCTTTTTTACTATTTCTTTAGAATGTATTTTTCATATATAAGAAAACAGTTGTCCAAGTAAATATACATAATATATAATTTAGTTAGACATATTATAATTGCTGAACAGTGCAATTTTGCCCACTTGTGGATTTCAATTTTCTCCAAGTAAGGTAGAATTCGCGGATCTAATTTTCTTATCTCCCTCATATGATGATTATATTTCTCAATAGTGTATGCCCTTGTTGCTGACAAATACTTTTTTTTTTTTTAAATAAACTTCAACAAATAAAAATGAGTATAATATTTGTTTCACTAAAATATTTTTGTGCATATATTTAATTGGACAACCTGTTTCTTGCATGCGAAAATAAAATTTGAATAAAGAATAAAAAGTATTAAATAGCATATGCATAAATAAATTTGGAATATCAAATCAATATAGTTATATTAGGCATCTAACTAAAATACATATTAGGTATCTACATCTAATGATAAAATATTTATGACTGACTTGTATGTGATGATGTATAAAAATTATATTTTGTTTATAAGTTTTCATGTGATATACTTCCAAAATCAAACATTTATCATCTTTCAAATCCTCGGACAAAACGAACATTACAAAATGCAAAAGATGCACACGCAGTAACGCTTTCTTCGATATAACTAAAACACAAAAATAATATCACAAAGAAATACGTCGAAGGATCGTCCTCTCGCAAACTATTTAATACGTAAGAGAAAATAAAATAAAAAAACAATCAAAAGAACAAAAAATATTCCCATGGATCTCCACCAAGGGTTTGGAGCTTGAACCAAATCGAGAGCTTGAACCAAATCGACCAACGGTTAAACGGCAAAGACAGCGAATCATCGAAAGCATTGTGAGCAAATTTGCGCCGATAGTTTAAAGGCGCGTCTCACATTAGAATTTGTGACCACTAAATAAAATGCCTCCAACTTCATAATATACGTAATCATNGAGAGTGTTTGACTTTGAAAGAACGGATTGAAACCTTCTTGTACTGTTAGTTTCTTTTCTATGAGAAAATGTTAAGGTAACGCATATTGAATGATTTTTTAAGACGTGAATTGCGCCGGTTACAGAAGAAGACATGTAGGTTACAAAAGAAGACATGTAAGGTAGCAAAATTCTATGGAAATCTTAGAACACTCCATAGAATTTCTGATTACCGGTTTTGCTATAGAGTCATCGAATGACTCAACTTATGGAACCATCTACAGTTATTCACAAATTGTGTATTGACACGTATCTTACAATAAATACACATTGGACATGTGTCAGCACATCAAGTTATGGATGACTCCATAAAGGAGCCATCGGATGGCTCCATAGAATTTCTAATTACTCCATATATTTGAAAAAATTATGTCCAAAACAAATTGAGATGATAAAACTTTCAATGAATCGTACATATACATATGCAAAGCAAATTTTATGGAGCCATAAGTATGTAAATTAGCCAATTAATATTACTTACTGATTTTGCAAGCCCATTCATCGTGGCACTCTAACTGATTTGCTAAAGGGCAACATCAATATATCACGCCACGAAACACCAATTTTTTTGTTGAAACACAAGAAAGAAATAACAAAAAGAATATCAGATAGTCGGCTGTGTTCAAGGAACATTGCGAAGCCAAGAATAAATTAAATTCTGTACCATGACATTTATTCCTATCCCATTGGACTTGGTCAACTGAGAAGCTAAAGAGTTTTTACACAAAGTTGTCCCAAATACCACTCTCCTCCATAAAGGAAAAAACATCATCACTTGATCACTTCTGAGAAGGAAGTGAGTGAAAACGAACCTGACAGTTGTGTACGTCAGTCTGAGAAATTTTTACATGTAATCAACAGTTGTTGACTGTCCACTTTCCAAAAACCGAACCCAGATCAGTCAACTTTCTTTTGCCTTTCCATTCCACAGTTGTGAACTCTATTCTGTTGTAGGTTATGTTAGAAACTATTAGCAGTTAGTAAACAAAATACCACATTCAAAACAACGTTGACAAAAAGTTAAAGATTGGTCTCATCTCGAGAAACGAAAAAAAAAAATGTTCAAATGCGAAAAACAAGCAACTGCTATCCACACTCTTCTCAATACAGTAAATTGCCAAAAAAGAGAAAAAGAAGTAAGATGGACTTTGCTTACCTAGTTGTCACGAATACGGAAACGGCGCCTTCTTGAGCTGTGATACAAGTAAAGTCAATACAAGGAAAATAAAAAGAAAGAAAGAAAGAAAGAAAGAAAGAAAGAAGAAACCTAAGGCAATGTAATGCAACCGTACAAAGAAGTTAATTGTCAACAAGATAATTAGCATAGCCCTCTTAGCACTAGTCCTTTTTTTCTAACCAAGCCCAATTGATCAACTCAAGAATATTTCATTTTGATTTTTGAAGCATCGGGAACTAGAATTTCCATAAATTACTCAATATGCAAAGCTATAGGTATCTTGAGAATCTTCCTTCAAAAAAATAAAATAACAACTCATACACTGTTACCATAAAAGATTAGATTTTTAACTTTAATCCCACAAAATAGTTAATTTGACGACAAAAAGGTTTCAAAACACTCGTTGATACCTACACGGTTGACTTTTTCCTCACCTTTGTCGAGCCCTTCCCCTAGACAGCCTCCTCGAGTTCACAAAATCAGCCTCAACAACATCATCCCCCCTATAATCCCCATACTCCATGGAAGAAATTGAGCCCTCATCCGAATAAGAGGCATCATAACTTATCCTTTGAGTCCAAACCCTCCTCGAGTCACTCACCCTCGACCGCCTTCTATTCCTCGACGCCCTGAAATTCTCAAACACCTGATACAAAATGCAAGATCTCCACCAATTCCCCTCGGGCCCACGAAAATCGTCAAACTCATCATCCCCCAAATTATCATCATCATCATCATCCCCATATTCTATAACGTAATCCCCCAAAACCACGCCACGCGGGATTTCCGAGTGTATAGTGCTCAACACATCAATAATCTCGGCCGACTGCTGGAAGTTCTCCCAGTCCAGCTGGCGGGCAGGGTCGATTTTCGAGGGGCAAGAGTACGGGTGCTCGATCCGCGCGTGCTTCCGGAGCTCTATGAATGTTCCGGAAAAACGACACTTGTCCTCCTCACAGTACCGTTTTCTCTCGTCCAGGTGTGCACGGACCTTGTCGAGAACTATCCATCCGGAAACTTCTCCCCTACACAAAGGGCACGCGGGCTTCCCGCCAGGTGGCAAATCGAGTGACTGAAGATTTTCGGCAATGCTCGGGAGTTTCGGGCCCGCTTCATACAATGCAATTGACAAGGGGACGAACTTAGAGGGCATATTGTTGGCTTGTCTGAAGCGGTTGAGGCAGTTGGAGTGCAAGTGGTCCGTGTCGCACACAAACGAGCAGCAACCGTTTCTGTTAGACGAGCACTGGAGGAGGACTGCGTTGTGAGGGGAGTCGAGGCAAATGGGGCATTTGATATCATCCCAGTTGGTGTACAGCTGGATTTCGTCCTCCATCGTGAGTGTGTTCTGTTTAGAGCACTCTCCCACCATATGTCAAATTTCAAACCTGAGCTGTAAATGTAGCAGAGTTGTAGTTATGGTGAAATCAGAGATGGATTGTTCAAGAGAGGAACACAAGTTGTTTAATTTAATGTGTAGATGAGTTTTAGGTAATGATATGGTAAACCTGTTCCCTCCAAGATATTTTATTCAAAAAGCAATAAAATCACCAAACCCGCAAGTTTAACTTTGTCACTGAGTGATGGGGACGCACTTATTGGTCGAGTTTGCCTTTTACCTGATCTCGACAAGTGTCATACAGCTAAGTTGAGTGCGAACAAAATCTAATGCTGACGAATAAACAGTTTGAGATTCATATTGTAAGGTGTTAACGGTATGTTTGCTTGCATTTATTCAACTACTACGGCTTGTCCCATTACTATCCCGTTAAGTAGAATAAACAAACATACACACAGATGAATGATGATGAAGAATACATACTCAGAAAGTAACCCTTCTTGCAGTAAGTAATAGTCCGAAATTTTTATTATTATTATTATTATTATTATTATTATTTTTTTGAAACACTCAAGAATGCTACTCGTCTTTCTAATTTTCACAACTAGGGGATTGAAAATTGCCATTCAACTCAAATTTCAATATTGCAATAATATTACAAGACAAATTTTGTTTGGGTGACTATCATATATAAGTTACTATATAAATATCCCAACTATAAATAAAACTTTTACAGTTAACAGTTCCATTTAACCTCTTTCCACCATCAACAAGGGCAATCAGATTCTCAGCCATCTACTTCACTACATCAAATTAAACCGAAAACCCACCAAAATTATCATTTCATTCAAATTAAATAAAAATGATTACTAAGTAACGATTGACATCACAGAAACAGTGACAGAACTAATACCAAATGAATAAGTCTCCACTGCAAAAAGGTCAGAAACACAGCAATGAAACCGTTTACAAACGGAAAAGGAAATTGGAAAACCAAAGCATCTGATAAGCAATAAAAAAGAATCACACAATAATTCTATTCACTGTAACCCAAAAAGTCAAACGATCCATTTGAGATGTGACCCGAAACATATCCGAGAACTGAATTGGCGCGTTTGTGCGAATACATAAGTTCGTTTATGAAGCAGAACACAAGTGTTTACCAGGTAAAATCGGGAGCTTCTGAAAGTAGAGCGCGTCTCCGGAAAATGGGAAAGTGCAAACTTTGAGACGATGGAGGGGTTTGTTTTATAAAGCTGTTGAAATTTGCTGGTGGGTAGAGGACTTTTTTGCAATTTTTACTTTGTTGAAAGTTGTTTCTTTAGTCAAGAAAGAATAGAGGTACATACACTTCTACACAGTACGTTGTTTTGTTTGTTCTTTGAAAACTATTAATGCGATGCAAGAGATAATACTAATAAATCGTATAAAATTAAAATATTCAAATAATATTAATTAGTATAAAAATAAATAATAGTGAATAGTATAAAATAAATTTAAATATTAACATTAGTTTTCACTAATTACTACTCCTTCCTATTTTTATTATTTGTCATCCTAACTTAATTGATCATTTGTTAAATAAAGGTCGTTTTGGCTATTTTGTACATATTTTTCCATCATTACCCTCATCTAACTAATAAATACACTACGTCTTTTCATATTCACTCTCTATCTTTTCTCAAAACATCAATCTCTATCCTCATTAATGAGGATTATTATTGGCAAAAAAAATATTCTTAATTATTGTGCAACTTCTCAAAACGATATTTATTAAAAATAGGAGAGAGTACTATTCTAGATACTTCGTGGTATGAGAATTCTTTATTTTATTTTTATGATATATAATAGTTTAACATATAATTTATATATTTATTTCAGTCGTTATGATACAGTCCATAAATTTGTGAAAATATAGTTAGCATGATTAAAATGTAAATTATACAATTTTGCTATTATATTATTTATTTTATTTTTCTCCTTTCTCCAATTTATTGTTAAACAAATTATTTACCATTAAAATTAAGGCTGCTCATTCGGTCGAAATAGAACCGAACCAACCGAATTTTGGATTAATAAAAAATTTGGTTTATCCATTATAAGAATTCAAAATCGAACTAAAATTTATGGTTCGATTGGATTTTTAACTGAAAATCCTGCAGTCGATTCGGTTTGGTTATTGATTAATCGCAATAAATAATTAATCTTCTTAATAAATTTTGAATTTTTAACCAAACCAAAATTTTGATTTTTTTAACCAAAAAAATTTGATTTTTTTATCACTTTGTTTAATCATCTCAATAAATTTCAAATTCTCCTCTAAAGAAGATCTCAGACTCAAACTATGACTTCAACTATAACGAAACAAATCTTGAATGAAATTTAATGCTTGAACCATTTTAGGTGTCATTAAAGCTCAAAAATCATCAATCATTCAAGCAAATTAGTGCTTTTATAACTTATATATATATAGACTAATTCAAATAAAAACTATTTCTAGTGTGAGAACCGTGAAAACCATATTTGATGCTATTTTTGATTGTGTATGATGTTGTTTTTAAAATTATATAATACTATCATTTTCACAAATGCTAATATAATTTGTATTGCTATTTTTAATATAATATATCATGGTTAAAAATAGCACTAAAACACAATCAATCATAGCACTTCATACAATTAAAATAGCGATTCTCACGGTTCACACGCTAATACTTGGTTGTCATTCAAGCTCAAAAATATATATCGATTTTCGGATTCAGTTCGATTAACCGATCACTATTATCCAAACCAAACCGAAATGTTAAGAAAATATAAACCGAAAACCGAACCAAATATTCGGTTTCAATTTCAGTCCAACTCGAATTTTTAGTTCTGATATTTCGATTTGAATTTCATTCCAAATCGAACTTTTAGTTCCGGTCGGTTAACCGAAAGTTGTGCACCCCCACCAACAAAGTCCTGAGATCCAGCAGCTACTCAAACATGCACAAGCAACAGGAGGGAATAAACAATAACAAAAATAAAGAGTTCCACGATTCAAAATGATCAGCCGTGCCCTACTTTGGGAATGACATAATACTCGCTAAGGTTAGCCAAATACTGATTGAGTGCATGAATTGGTGGGATTTCCTAGCAGCCTTGGCAAGGCTCTATTTTCAGCCACCTTTCCATGTACCGCCTCTCGGCTGGAGTCAGACGACAACTCATTTTCATTATATTCTTCTTCGTTATGCTTATTGGCCACGTTTAGTAGGATCTGCAACAAAAATATTGTTAAATTCAGTAATATCGAAAAGGAATTCATTAGGCAGCAGTTCAAGCTTTAGCACTCAACTATGTCTTGGATGTAAGTAAATTACAGAGACAATGCACAGTCAAAAGCACTACACTAACCTTGTTTGTGGACAATTGTTGAAAGAAACAATTCTTATCCTTTTCTTTTTCTTTTTTTGTTTTATAGAATTTCAGATATTTTTCATGGGGACTCACAGTATCGAGGGAATTAAGGGGAAAGAGTAAACGCTAAAGCTGGAACAGAATCACACCTTAGCGACTGACACAACTGTAACTGAGTTAAAAAAATAATATGCGTAAGTCTCAAATTAAATTTACAGGTACACAAATGAAGGCAAGCTGAGGATAACTGATTTGACCAAAGTTGCTTCNACAGCAGGCTCAAAAGCATAACAAAGAGAATTGTCTCATTTAAGGCAATGTATAATCAGGGATTGTTAGTATGTGATGGCGTACAAGCAGGGAAGAAAAACTGAAAAAGAGACTAGTCTTCTTATAAGGAAGTGCTACGGACCTGTCAATTGATCATGACAGAATCAGTGGATGTTACATAATGATCTTGGTGCTTCTTTTCCTTTTTGATGCCACCATCCTTTATGTCCAAGGCTTTGCCCTTTAGCCTCAGCTAGCAACCAAATTTTCATAAGCTGACATCTGTTCCTTTCAGTGAGAGTTCTATACAACATGTCATGGATTTCTTGGACCCGTTTGAATACAAATACAAATTTTGATGGTTTAAAAATCTATACTTGGTGGTGCCAAATGATTTCTTTTAAAACAACGGATTTCTATATTAGCTTGCAAGCACATCCAGACTAAAAGCATTAAAGTTGATTTACACATTCTAATGTAAAAATTCATAAAAACAAGGATCATGGTTGGGTTTGTATAGCACATCTCTGCTACAGGTAGTTTTTCATATATAAATAGAACATATTTCTAATTTTAGAACAAAACCTTACCAACCAGTACAATTTTTTTAAAAACTAGGCAACTGTATGATATATTACGCAAGGTAATGAAAAAAATGACTCCCCAAACCATCTACATTCTAGAGATCGCCTTATAGCAAAAGATTAATTGTATAACCTTAAAATTTGTCAATACAAGGTTTCAAGCACAGGAAATACAGAGCGAAATTAATTTACCTTTAATCAGCCACACTAAAAGCCGGAACTTTCTGAATCCCGACTCTTGCCATTACTTTCCTCAAGGTAGCCGCGTGGTCCCATATTCCCGCTCCAGCATAAATGCCTGACAGCAGCACATACCGTCCACAATGGCCAGGTTGCAATTCAAGCAACTGCCTACCAACTTCATTTCCCAAATCAACATCCCCATGAACCCTACAAGCACCCAAAAGCGCACCCAAGACAGAGGCATCGGCCTTAAAAGGCATGGTCGCCACAAATTCATACGCTTCTCTCAAAAGACCTGCTCTACCCAAGAGATCAACCACGCATCCATAATGTTCCATTCTGGGTGTAATGGAAAAATCAAGCGCCATTGATCGAAACAAATCCAAACCCAAATCTACTAGCTTTTTCCGAGCACAAGCTGATAGGACACCCACATAAGTAACTTCATTTGGACACAGTCCCAGGCTCTTCATGCTCTCAAACATATCTAACGCCTGACTTTCCCTGCCATTTGAAGCCAGTGAACATATCATAGCATTCCAAGCACAAACTTTTCTGACACTCATAGCATCAAACACTTTAAACGCATAATTTAAGCATCCCATTTTCCCGTAAAATGCTATCAGTGCCGTTCCAATATTAACACTCAATTCCTTCTCACTTCTTATCATGTATCCGTGAATTTGCTTTCCCTGTTTCAAAGCAAAGCCATCATCCATGTTCGCACAAGACGAGAGAACACTTACAAAAGTTGCCTCGTTCGGCCTGAAAAGACCACGACTAACATCGTCATCAGTCATCATTTTCTTGAAAAAGCTAACGGCCGCCTCAAAGCATTCATTACGCGCGTAACTGTTTATAATACTAGTCCAGGAGTAAACATCTCTTTCAGGCATGCTTAAAAAGATTGAATTTGCTGACTCCATTTCACCGCTTTTGCCAAAAGCATCAAGCATCGCATTACATGAAACAATACACGGTTGAGAAATCTCATCAAACATCTTATGTGCACTAATTATATCACCAATTTGTGAGTAAAGAGATATAAATGACGTTCGGACAAACCGGTCATTTAATATGCCTCTTTTAGCACATTGAGCATTTAACGAGAAACTCGTGGGTGCGATTCTATACGAATGAGAGAGCGAAGCAGTTGCTTTAAGAACAGAGGGGAAAGTGTGGCTATTGGGTGGGGCCCGATGGCGAAGCATGTTGACAAAGAGGATGAGGCTGGTGTGTGGACTAGAGAGACTAAGGTATGTTCTGATGAGTGTGTTGTAGAGGAGGGTATTGATCCATATATCTGTGATGAGGATATGACCTTGTGTAATTAACAAGGAATGAACTTGTTTAACTTGCTTAGGAAGTTTACATAGACGTTGAAGGAGTTGAAGCAGAAGTTCAGGTGACTGTAACTGCTGTTTAAGCATTCTAATTTTTTTTATTTTTTTTTTTTTTTNTTTTGGTACAATAAGCATTCTAACTGAAGGTTAATGTGTTTTCATTTTACATAGGTCACTTGTGAGTTGTGACCCATATAATTATCTTGGATGGTAATAGTACCCGACCTACAACCTTAGCAGTTAAAATATTATCAACCATTCAGTTTAATTGCTCTTTCTTGTTCGTGACTTGACTCGTGCAGATGCACGTAAACATTACATCTGTCTTCTCAGCACAGTAGTCAACCAACATCTTTCAAAAGACATTATCTTCATTCTGTAGAGGAAGAAACATTTCATTATCTGCTTATAAACCACAGCATGCACATATACACTAAATAGCAACTCTACAACCTTTATATTTAGAGGTTATCTCTTACTTGAGGACATGACCCTAGCATTGTGGCACTACTATAATCAAACATCACACATCTATGAACACGGCAATATACTGGGAAGAACAAAAAGGCCAATAAACAAAATTAGACATATGCTCCTGTTTATGCTTATATGATTTGCTGAAAATTCTAATCATCAATGATTGGAACAGGTAAGAGCTTGGCTTGTAAAGCATCTCCAGCTTGCCTATATCGTTGTTGAACAAATTAGCTAGCTTTATGAAAAGTAAAATGCACATAAACAACTTTGCAAGACCACAAGGCCCTTCTAAATGAAAGGCCATATTTAACAACACTATTTAGAAACTTATTCTGTAAATAAAAGCAATCCAAAGTCGCCTTTGAAAGGCTTGTTCTTGTGAACATAATCTATGGAGTATTGACACAAACCATAATTGACTATTTCTGTTTCGCCAAGCAATTAATTAATCTTCTTACAAAAACTGAGGGGAATCATCAAACACATGGAGCGATTACTAAGAGCAAAGAATAACGGCACACTAATTACACCATTTCCGTAATAAGAAAAATCAGACAAGAATGGAACTCCTGATGAGGAAAAATCGCTACATACCCAATTGGGAAAAATGATGAAATCCGAGAAGAACGAATGAAGCAGAAGAAGACAATTTCGTAAACTAATGCATTGTCCAGCGCGTTTCCTGAAGATTCTGCACCTCACATGGCAATTTTATTGAAGCAAAAGTTACACGACTTTAGGCAACACAAGACGGAATGGGAGTAGGGATGGCAATGGGGCAGGTCGGGCCGGGTAGTTCAGTACCCGGACCTGGCCCGCGACCCTAGGCCGCGCCCCGACCTGGCCCATGGCCCATCACGAGTCCAGGAAGGTTGCCCCGCGACCTGGCCCGCCCCTTTTTTGGCCTACAACATGGGTTGTTTACTTGGACAGATTTTGTTATGGGTTGTTTACTTGGACAGATTTTGTTATGGGTTGTTTACTTGGACAGATTTTGCTATGTGTTGTTTACTTGTTTTTATGTCATTACTGCAGGTTACAGTATGAATGTTTTGAATACAACCAAAGCACAAAAGTTTGTCACTTGCTTATAAATAGTTAAAAGCACACAATTGCACCTAAAATTTCTTAAGATGAATTTATTATCCAAATCCATGTTAAATGAACAAATTTAACAAAGTAACACCCAAAAATCCTCTGCTTCACCATCAACTCAGCATTTCTCATGACTATAAGATCATAAACCTAATTCAAAGATAAAACCCAATCTTTAAATTTTTTTTATTTAAATGTAGTAACCCAATATGTAATTTTTTTTTTATTTAAATGTAGTAATTACTAATTACCTTCAAATCTGCAGTGGAGTAGCGTCGAGTAGGGGGCCACGGGTCGTCGAGGCGAGGCGTAGGAGGCGGCGAGAAGTCGGAGGCTGTGTCTCAAAAACGGGGAGGCGCGATTTCACAGAGACAGAGGGCCGAGGCGGACGGTCCGACGGCGGCTGGTAGCTGGTGCCTGACTGGCGACTGCCTGGTGGTGGTGGGCTTAACCGGTTGGTGAATACCGTGAATTTGAGAGAGGGAGAAGAGATGCGGGATTGTACTCAACTTTAATTCAATTCAACTATCTCCATTATTATCAATATAATTAAATAATCTCATAATTAAATAATCTCATTTACTAAACACCGCACCCAANTATAATATCTCTATCGTTTCGTAAAAAAAAAGAAGTTTAGGCACAATCATGATGAAATTAAACATGCCTCTAGAAACCGAATTGAGAGTTTCAAAATGATATATGGTTTATTGAAATCAACCATTGATAGAACAGATGGCGAACGGTGGCCGACGACTGCAGGTCGTTGTGAGATGGCCATTGAAGAAAGAAACTTTAAGCATTTCAATTAATATTACTATTATTATAATTTTTATGAAATCATTAAATACTAATTTTTTATATTTAATTAGATTATTTTATCAACTAAAAAATTTAATCTTAACAGTTCTATTTTTAATGGTAAATTGATCTTGTAGATTAAAAATGACTAACAGACAAAATGATGTCAAAAATAAAAAATAAAAAAAAATCAAAACTTAAATTTAACTCAACGTTAGGCCAATTCCATTTCCACTATACTTATTATTATCATTATAACTAAATAATATCTATCAATCTTTCTTATATATCGCATCAATTTTAACTAGTACGAATCTCGTGCGATGCACGTGTAAGAAATATTTATTAATATTTATGAATTAAAATTTCTCATTAAATAATAAATAAGTGTATTTGATAATATATTTTCATATTTACCTTAACTTATGGTGAATATTCAAAAGATATATTGCCATGTAAAATAAAGATCAAATTTTCTATATTTTGGTTGTATTGATGCGTTTCCATATCAAATTATTTTAGATATTATTGTATATTTTCAGTTTAGACTGTATTGATGCGTTATTTGAATTAAATTATGCTTACTCAAAATGAAATATTATATTTGCCTAAATTGAATGTCATAAAGAATATGTTATGGATGTTTAAAAATAAAATATTTGCTCTTAAATGGCAAATTTTGATAAATATATTTTAGACGAAAACACGATGTTACCAAAACTACAGATTATCATGGTATATTCAAGTGTTTTTACCAAATAAATCTTATCGGAATTATTCACCAAGAACCTAATCTCATTCTTTTTTTTTTGCCAAAACGATAGAGATACTATATTAAACCGCACCAAGTGCGAAGAAAAGGCAGCCAAGGGCTGAATAGTACAACCAGAGACTATAAAACTGGGAGGCAGATCCAAAGGATCGCCTAGAGCCGACCCCAACGGGGTAATACTTGGACAACACGCACTAAAACAACAAGAAACACAATCACACTAAACCAACTACACCAACAAAACTAAAAAGACCCCCAACGGAGTAATACCCGAGTGTCGGACCCCCACGGAGTAATAAGTTTGACACTCGGGCTCACAGGGACCAACGGCCCAAACCTAAGACACAAAACGAACACAAATACAGACACAGACATAGGAAAACACTAAAAACGAATAACAACAAGAACAAATAGCCCTTCCACGGCAAACGAACGGTTCCAGTCAGCGATGAACGATCGACACAGGTAAGATTCCAAGCCAGAGAAAACACTACCGAAACTGCACCAATGCCTATACAGTAGTCAAACCCGAGCCCCGAACACACCCCGAATCAACCCATCTCCAACCGAAAGAGAATCGACCAACCCCCACCTCGGCTCACCCGAACTCGTCTAACACCACTAGCCGAACTCAGGTTCCCCCGCCGCCTAACACCACTAGCCGAACAGGAAAGGTTGAAGTTAGGTCTATCCCTCAACCCCGGCCACCGCGGCTGAAAAGGCCGCAGCAACCAGAGCCCCATCCCCGTGAGGACTCGCACTCCACCCAACACCACCATAAGGGGCTCGATCGGAGGCCCAGGTCCCACCACCCTAAAGAGGCGGAGCCCCGTCGAAAAAGCCGAATGCAAGAATTACCGACAAGGCGAAATTGGAGGGCTTACCGTCACAAATCGAAGCTCCACCGGCAAGTGAGATGAAGACTCCCGTCGCCAGCCAAACACCGACCCTGAAGGAGGCCACAATCGACTAGAACGCCGTCAGTAACCTCGAGCTCAGCCGCCAATCGCAGCCCGTCCATAGCGACATCGAAGGCGCACGTCGTCCGTAGGGGATGAGCGGTCAATGATGACCCCTGGCCAGAGGCCCGCTGTCGCCGAAGAAGGCCAGTCGAAGCTGATTTGAGGTGAACCGCCGGCGAGAGTTGGGGGTTAGGGTTATAGAGAGAGAATTTTCTAATATCTTATACATTAAAAAAAAAAAAAATGTATTAAAAATTGAACTTTTTATTATTTTTTTTAGTAAGGGCAAAAAGGTATTATTTGGGTGCGGTAATTAGTAAAATTGGGTGCGGTGAATATTAACACTCTTAAATAATACTAACTAATCATTTTTAAATAATATCAATTAATCATTCAACCAATCATTCTTACACATCACATCAACTTTAATTCACTATTCATCTTCTCACATAATTTTAACTAATAATCATCACTTCCAATCATTTTTTATTTACTTTTACATCATATCAATTTTAATTATTTTATTTTAAATATTATTTTAATATATCCACTAACAACTAACTATACCAACTTTTTTTAAAATTAACTATAGTTAAAAAAAACCAATTAATTTCTGGGTGATTGTTTAAAATAAAATAATTAAAGTTGATATGATGTAAAAATAAGAGAAAAATAATTGGAAGTGGTGGTTAGTTAAAATTATGTGAGTGGATGAATAGTGAATTAAAGTTGATGTGATGTGTAAGAATAATTGGTTGGTATTATTTAATTATCTATATATATATAAAGAGGGAGTTGATGGAATTTATTGCTAAATAAAGGTGATATACAATGACTATAATTGGCAACATTTCTACATTTGGTTGTATAATTGTAAGTTTAATTATTTTTGCATTTGTCAATAATACTTTAGATCCGTGTTTCCATTTGCACTTTCTATTAACTTAACTAAATTAGTATCCAATTAATAATTTAAATTAATATGGAATCTATATTAATATTTATGCGACTTAATATTCAGCTACCTTTGAAGTTCCTAAAAGTTATTGATTGAGAATTTTAAGTAAAAAATCTATATAAAAATAATAATAAATTTCTGTTTCAATTTTTCTAAAAATAAGAAATCAATTTTAAGTATGAGAATCATTCTGATATTTAATAATGCATAAAAATATATATTTAATAATACGTAAAAATATATATACCACCAATTAAGATAATGATACCCAATGATACCATAAATATACGAACCTATAATTATACCATAAATCTATATCTATATCTATGTCTATACCTATATCTATATAATGGATCAATCTTTATTGCCATAATTGACATGATTTTGGGGGAGAAATTTTTTCGTCTATATTTGTCATTTAATTAATATTTATTTATTATCAAGTGCATAAAAAATATAATTAATTTTTATACACTCAATGAGACAATGACTATTACACATTAACTACAAATTGGCTAAATTGAAATTTTGACTGTAAATTTATTAGATATATTTTAAGTAAGATCTTCTATTAATTTAATAGTAATTTATTAGCATAATTCAAAAAATTATTATGGAAATTTATTTGATTAAATATTTTATCATCTATGGCAGTAGGTATTAATTTAATTAATTATATTCACTATTCAAAAGTACTTAAAATATTTAATAAAATAAGTAGAATAACTATGTTTAAATCATAATAACTTAATAAATAATCTAAAATATTAATAAAAGTTTCAAATATGTAGTCAATTTCCCCATTGAATATATCACATGCAGTAATAATAGTATTGAAAATTTAAAACCTAGAATCCCGACTAGCAACGCTAGAAAAAAAAAAACACGCTCACAACTAAACTAACCAACAACACTAACAACTAGAACAACTACAAGGACCCCAACAGGGTAATACCCTAGTGTCGGACCCCAACGGAGTAATAAGTTTGACACTCGGGCTCACAGGGGCCAACGGCCCAAACCAAAAACACAAAACACAAACAATCACTACTGCCAAGATAACACAAACAACACAAGCGAAACAACAAAAACATAAAACAATAACGCTCTTCCCCAGCAAAAGAATAGATCAAAACCAGTAGAGAATCAATGCAAGAGAGAACCGAGACCGATGATCAACTTCCGAAACTGCTGCCGAACGCCTATACAGAAGCTAAACCTAGATCCCGAGACTAACCCGAATCAACTCACCTTCAACCGAGCAAACGACCAGCCAACTCCCTACAACAACCCCACATTAGCTCGCCTAACACCACTAGCCAAACTAAAAGGCGCCGAACCCACCCAGTCCCCAACACCAGAGAACCGGAGGGAATGAGAGATGGCTAATCATGCTACTCCCGCACCCCGACAAGTGACGTCACAGACGCTGGAGTCCCGTTCCGCCCGCCGACCAACACGCCTCCCAACAACACCGCAGTCCGCTGAAATCTCGAGCTCGAGCCCCAAAATCCGAAGCCCAGCCTGAAATCGCCCGATGAGCCTCCGAGTGCCGACCCAATGAAATTGATGGTGAACCCACCAATCGAAGACCGCTAGCGTTATCAGAGGGAGACCGCCCGCCTCCGACCGAGGCCCACCACCGCAGTCGCTCATTGTCGACGACCAAGGGCAGAGCACTCATTGAAGCGGCTTTTGCAGCAAAATCGAAGAGTCACGTTATCGGGGGCGGGCCGAGCGGTCGTGGGTGACCACTAGCCCGAACCCCTCCAGCGCCGGAGAAGGCTTAATCGGCGGCAAAGTGAAGATGTGAGGCTAGGGTTTTCTACAGTAAAATGGGGCGAGAGAAAATTCCAATTTACTGTTGCTGGTTAGGTGCAATTCAAAATTATAAATTCCACCTTAGAAGTACCTATGTACATTAAAAACTATCCAATTTTTAAAAATA